AGCGAGAATCGAACACAGCAATTGCGCGCAACACGGCCACCTATTAACGAAAACGGCGTCGCTATCCTCTATTCGGTGGTACCTCTTTGGATCTCTGACTCTGTCTGGCTTTATATCTATCTAAATATCTATCTATCAGTGGTACTGCCTGGCTGTCCTAGAAGAAGTGGCTATGAAAACCACCAGCTGCAACCTGCCAGCACTCTCTGTCTGCGTGACGCCCTGTGCGAAACTCCAGCTGCTACTGGCTGGCTGCAGCTGCTTAGATTAAACCAACATGCCTGGCAGTCCTAGAAGCGCTGACTATAAAAATTGCTAGCTGCAACCAACCCTCGCTGTCTACTTCACTTGTCTCCTTTCTTCTTCTTGGCTTTGGCTTCGCTTTCTGCTTTGCCTGGATGCATGCGACATGTCTGGCTGTCCTAGCAGCAGTGGTACTGGCTCTAAACACTGCTGGCTGCCACCTACAAGCTTCCTCAGTAATTAATTCATTCCTTCCCTTCACTTCTCTCATCCGCTTCGCGCCTGGCTTCGCTTTTGCTTCGCTCTCTGCCTTGCTGCCTTTCGTAGCCCACCTGAGAGCCTTGGCTGGGTTGCAGTCTTTACATCCACTGACTGCCATCCTGCACTTGCCGCAACCAAATGTGCGGCTGCGTGCCTGCACATCTGGCACTGCCTCTGCTGCCTCAGCTTGGGGAGGTGCCTCTGGTGGAGGTGGCAGCGGAGGGGGCGCTGAGTCCAGCTGGCTGACTGCCTTTGCCTTGTTCTGCTCCTTGGCCAAAGCTGCCTGCCAAAGAACTAGTTTCGCTGACTGCCTCTCCACTGAGGACTCAAAAGGCCCCTGGCTGAGGTTCAAGAACTCTCTGGCTTCCCTCTCTGCATATTGCAGAATCCACAGGCCGCAGGAAAAACCGTCTGTCTGGCGGTGCCTGTTGGTCCTGGCTGGGAGCTGCGCTTCTGCAACGATCATCGACAAAGCTGCCTGAGCTGCCACTGTTGCGTTGTGGCTGGCTTCTGGCAAAGTCTCGAAATACCTGCAACGCACTGTCTGACCTGGCTCACTGGCTAGGGAGAGCAAGGTCCAGTGCTCAGGGGCCTCACTGTGCACAGGTACCAAAAGCAAAGCTGGCTTCTCTGTCTGCTCCTACCAAGCGAACGAATTCGGAACTACCTATTGACAAAATACAGCGCAGTTTCCTGTATTGGGTGGTGCTTGCTTTGCTGTGTATACCTGTCTGTTACTTGTCAACTATCTATACCCAACTTGCCTATGTGGTGGGTTTTGGCAATTTTCTGTACCTACGTCTTCTGACAGTGTCTTTTTCATGCCTCTACATAGGCAA